AACTGGGATTAGAAGAATATGAAGAAAATGAATTAGTTCTTGACACAGTTCATGATTTAATGCAATTTTTTAAAAAACAATCAAACTGTATATGCCGTCATATACCTAAACAAAGAGATTTAAGAACCTGTTACGAAAAAGTCAGATTTAAAAATTTTTTTGAAAGACATCTTCAAATAAGAGCATTAGTAAAATCTGAACTTGTGTTATTTTTAAAAGCACAATTAATGGCCTTTGAAATTATTAATAAAAATATAGAATCTCAAAGACAAAATTATAGATATAACTATAATGTGTCTTTATTAATTTGTAAACCAGTATTTCTAAAACTTTGTGGAATAAGTAATCATTTTCTTTTAGCAATTCAAAAACATTTACAAGAAAATGGATTAACTGAAAGAACTTATGAAAATACTGGATGCATATCTAAATTAAAAAGTAAAGTACATCTTGATTCTAGTATTACATTTCTGGTTAAATGCTTTTTAGAACAGTATGGAATAAATAATGGACTTCCTTCTCCTATGAGATATAAAAATGAATCAGAACCTTTTATTTATTTACCAACTGGAAACACGTATACTTCAGTTTATAACGAATTCAAAAAATCTTTTTATAAAGAAAATGGTAAAAATATGAAAGTTATTTCCTATTTTACATTTAGAAAACTTTGGTATGAGATAATTCTTTATGTCAAATTTCAACCACCTGCAAGTAATCTTTGCGAAGTTTGTGAAACTTTTAAAGCTAAATTAGTAGTAGCAAAATCGGATATAGAAGAATATAATCAAATTAAAAGTATGTATGATCAGCATCGTATTGCAGCAGATCGAGAAAGGCAACATTATAATGATAATATAGCTAAGAGTACAAATGATTTATCCATCGCACATGTTTGTTATGATTGGGCACAGTGTATGTCAATTCCGTACTCACCACAACAAGTAGAAACAATTTACTTTAAAAATCCATTTTCTGTGCATTTATTTGGAGTATGTAAAACAGAAGGAGGTCAAAATTTTCAACTAAATTTTGTAATAGGTGAAGATGAATTTCCAGAAGGTATTTCGAAGGGTGCAAATACTACACTCAATATGGTTTATCAGTTTCTTCAGGAATTTACACTTAAAAAAAAAAATACATATAACATGTAATAATTGTAGCGAGCAGAATAAAAATAATTTATCTCTTTTTTTTATTGTTGGTTAACAATGTTAGGTTGGTAGGAGGAAATTACAATTAACTTTATGATTCCAGGTCACACTAAATTTATTTGTGACTCTTTTTTTGGTCAAATTAAAAAAGTATATCGAAATCATAGAGTTAATACAATAAGCGATATTGAGCATATTATTAATAATTCTTCAAAAGGAAACAAAGCAACTTTATATAATAATGGATTAGGTTGGACTTGGTACGATTTTTCTTCATTATTTGAAACTCATTTTAAAAATTTCCCCAATATAAAACAATACTATCATTTTAGATTTAGTAGTTTATCTACAGATATTGGAAAAGTTTATGCATCAACTGAATCAGGCGGACAAGAAATTTCATTTCAACTATTACGCGAGAATAATTTTAACATTAACACTACACTAAAAACTAT